TTTATAAAACCTGGAAAGGAGGTTTATTAGGATTAGTTAGCAATATAGTCACTGCATAGTCACTGCAACAAAAATGTCAACTATTTAAAAGATGCCTGTTTTAACTGCCAACAGTATCTTTCTCATGGGCATTCAGTAGTTAAACTACTTTAGGGAGAAATCTTACCGATCTCTCAGTTTTGCTATAAATTCACACCATTCCTACATCACCTCCAGCTCATTTTGCATCCCCGTGCACAGTATACATGTGTGCACTGTTTAGTCTGTGTCTGTTCTTCATGAGCTTTCCTAACTTCCATCTGCACAGCAGCATGCCTTCTGATCCCAACCCTGTGTCGTGCTAAGTGTTTTCAGTTCCTGAAGACTGCACCAGGAGGTACTCAGCATCTTGCAAGAGCAGATGCTCGCCCTTACTTGAATGCAGTGAGAGCATCAGAAAGTCTCTCAGTTCCTTTCTGTCCCTATCCTGTTAAATCTTGGCTCATGTGAAGCCTCCTCACAAGCAGGGAACCACTCACATGTGAAGGCTTCATAAAACGTACCTGCCTTCAGAGGATGACATTAGAGAAAAATGTGCTCTTTGGCCCTCATTAAAATAAAACAATCTTATTCTGTTTCATTGAGAAGTCCTGGGACTCCAAGCTTGGAACAGGACTTGGAAAATGATTGGAAATAGGAGCCAGTCCTTACTGGATATGTGCCTTTTTCTCTTCTTGTGAGAAACCACACAATTTTGGCTATGTGATAAGCCTTTGGAAAAAATCTGAAGTTTGCACATGTTCTCAGGAGGACAGCTAAAAGCTCCAGAGACTGCAGTGAGCACTCTTGACCACGGAAGTGCAGGAGGAAGGCAGGGCTTCCTCCAAGCTGGATGGACCAGTGGAGCACTTGGCACAGAACCAACCCCCTCCTGTGCCCAGTATGAGCCTGCCTGGGCATGAGAGAAAGGGATGCAGTCCAACTGAAAGCAGTTAGGGAATGAATGCTAGATGAAAAAAGGAGCATGGGATTGTTAGGCAAGGGAACTGGAAATAGCAGCTATGGTCAGACCAGAGGAGGTGCCAGGTGGGTGTCTGGGAATAACCAAGTAAGAGAGAAAAACAAAAGTCTCTATGGGAGAAAGACTAGGAGGAATACCAAAGAGAAGGCTAGGACTGGGATGAGCCTGGTGCTGGGACAGAGCCATAGTGGAAAGCTGTGAAGCAGGAGTCAGGATCAGGTAGGACACAGATCTAGCTGGAGCCCCATGTCTGATGCTGGAAATAAATATCTCTGCCCCAATGCCAACAGAGATGAAAGCAAGGGATAAGGTAGTGAATTTTATACCAATTTTGCTAGTTTTACACTTTGTGTGAATGTGTACTGTTTCTGTTCCTGGTGTTGCTTTGAAGAAAGGTTAGGCCACTTTACCTTGAAGAAGGGTTAGGCTGCTTTACCATATATGCTTGTTCCTGGCTAACTGATACCAGATGTACAACGCTCTCCCTGCTGAATCTGGCTGAGATTCCTCTGGGAGCTGTACTTAGTGACTCCTGTACTCATCTGACTCCCTGACTGGCCCATCACCAGCACTCCCTCTCTCTAGTCCTACTTCACTGAGCACATGCTGGTTTTGAGCTCCTCTTTAAAACCAGGCTTATCAAAAAAGTTGCAGTGTAATCTTAAAAACTGTCTTCAAAACAGTGATTGAATGCTCTGTGCAATGATGTTCTTTCAGAATGCTGTCTGCCATTTCCTATTCCTCTAAGAATTACTGCCTTTTTCTTAGGTACCAACATGTTTCTCAAACTGCTACCTGGTGAGGCAGCTTTCACAAAGCCCATCTGTTAATTCTCCGCTAGCAAATGTCTTTAAGTATCAAAGAGGAAGGAAAGTGGATGCTTCCAAGGCATAGTAATAAAAACAGTAGGAGAATAGCAGGGCTCTCAGGAGGCATGGATTGCAAACCCTGAAGTTAAATAAAACTCCATATCTTGACTTCAACAGAGACATTTAAAAGTACTGTCTCTGGCCAATGCTGTGACAGGGCAGAAGTCAATGCAGGACTGGGATGACACTGCTGACAGTTACCTGCACTCCTGCGTCTCCAATTTTCTCTTTAGTTTGAAAGAACCAGGTTGCCTCTGATCTACCCCTGTAACCAGTGGTGGAGCAGTCCCTCTATTTAGGTGTCAAGAGATTTGCCAAGCCCATTATTAAGTGATGAGGTCTCCCACCATGTCCCCAGGGAGATTATCCCACAGCCTACCAGACCACATCATTAGGAAAATGCTCCAGATAGCCAACCTAAATTGTGTTTAATTCAATTCCATTACTCCCAGCTGTACCATTTGGACCACCCTAAATATATCCACATTATTCTGCAGAAGGAGAAGGATGAGAGCTGGTTTAAGTTACGTTTGCCTATCATTTGTGGTAGCTGTTCTCCTGCCATCCTCCTTGAAAGACACTGGAATTCATTTTATGAAAGGAGGTCAGTGCACCACTGGCTCAAAGAGCTCTTGTACCCCAAGCTGCCTGGGCAGTGTGGCCAGGACTCACATGGCAGAGCAGGGAGCATAGAGCCAGTTCTGCAGCAAAGTCAACTGTGAGATCTGCTTGGGGCTGTGTAGGATGATTCAGGGATATTTCTACCTTTGATGAATCCTGGCTGATGTTCTGGAATAAGGGACTGCTATTTTTTTTAATGTTTCTGGGAAGGTGTATGGAGTTTTGCTGAGGAGGTTTCTACTCTCAGAAACTGGAATGTGTAACTCCCAGACTAGGGTCAGCAGCCAGCAGCTACTGCTTATGTCTGCTGAAGGGTGATCAGCTTGCAAGAAAAGGTGGCTCCTACCCAAGAGAACTAGGTTTTTTCTTTACCCAGCCATGGAAGCTCAAATTTGAAGAAGGAAAAGTTACCAAACAGAAAAACACAGCCAAAGTCTTGACGAAGGGTGCAATATGGAAACAGACTTACAGGGCCACACCAAAAGCTTGGCACAAGATACAGGAAGTCTTGGGCAGGGGAAAGGAAGTCATGACATGCTTTCACAGCGAAAAAGAGAAGACCCAGTCTACTATGGGATCAGTCAAGGTCAGAAGAGACATGCTGGGCTGGAAAGACTCCATGGTGCAGGAAGTAAGTCATGAACTTCACAAACAGATCCCAGACCACCAAGGCAAACCTGACCCCCAGCCCGAAGAAATTCTAGAATGGTTAGGAAACTGAGGCAGGAAAATGAACGGATTTACTATTTTTTCTTGCTCAGCATAATGGTGTGTTTATAATCTACCTGAATATGTCTCTGCTAATGTCAATCATACATTTCTAAACAGTTTAACTAGAGGGCCCCCAGCCTCTAGTTAATCCAAGAAGTGGGTTTAAACTTTGGGGAGGGGAGCAGTAGACTCTCAAGAACAGGCAAATGATCCATGGGTACAGCTTTGTTACTCTCCCTGCAAATACATCTACAGACCCTAAAAAATATTCAGACAAGGATGACAAGGACAATCAAGAAGAAAGACCAGTTTTTCTATGACAATCAACCAGACTAGGATTTGCACCCTGGAACATACTTCCAAAGTGGTTGTGATCAAGATCAAAGAGTGGTATTTCTGTTTGGTGTCATCTACTAAAGAAATAAAATATATACCTGTTTCCTAAAATATTAGCTAAATCTACACCCTGTGCCCTCATAGTTCGCACTGCAGGTTAACAACCAAACATGACCCAATTCTTCTCTCCTGGTGTTTCATGCAGATGTGTAGATGCAGCACTTAGGGAGATGGTTTAATGGCAGACTTGGCAGCGTTAGGTTTACAGTTAGACTTGATGATATGAAAAGGACTTTTCCAACCTAAATGATTCTACGACAGGAGGCAATGAACCCCACAAAGGACACCGATTCACACTGTGTGATGTGCAAAGCTATGAGCAGACACAGCCACACAGAGACCAAGACCACAGTGAACTCACTATGTTACCTACAGCATCAGAGACTTGCAACTGCAAGATCAATACTTCGTTTTCATGAGTCCTTTGTGCTTTCAGTTTCAATTTAAGGGAAATTTGTCATATGCGAAGCTGACAACAGGTTATGCTATACTACATTGAGTTCAAACCCTGCTCTGTATCAAGACACTTAGAATTGGGAATCCACCCACAAAGACAAAGCAAGCAAATAAATCCTGATCTGACTAAATAACTTCACATGAAGCCTGCAAAGGAACTCACTTTTGTCCTCAGTCTACACACTGGAGCAAGGATCTGCCAAACCCCAACCATAAATATTCATTAAAAAGCCTCTGCTTGGGATGCAGTCACTGAAACAGCCATTTCCTGCCCATTATCTCTTAGGGCAGGAAATCAACAGTTCCACTCATGCGGTTACCACCGAGCCCTCACCACGAGCACTCCCACTGGATGGCTGAACTTTGTAGAAATGAGGGCCACGTAGCTGTATCCTTTCTGAAGCCTCAAAATAGTACTTCATGGCAGTAAAGCAGATCTGAACATAGCTGCCCTTGTACTTCATATTGAGCACAGCAGGTCCTAATATGATGCTCCACCTTGAGCTTTTGCGTGAAGCAAAGTGAACGGGAGCACACTGGCACTGTGGGTTGGGAGCATCTACAGAGAAGGATGTTTGTGTGTTCAATAGATTTGCGTGCTTTGCCCCTGTCACTGACAAAGATTACTATTCAAAATAATGGCTCCTTCTGCTGAGGACAACCTCAGGCTGATCTAATTGTGGTCTCTGGGAAAAGACTGTCTCAGCACCCAATCTTGTCCTTTATAAGAACAGCAGAGCTTTGCTGCCAGCTTCAGAGGAGCAAACCACTGAACTTATGCCAAGAAGCTGTACTTTCAATGAAAAAAAAATCCTGATATTATAGGACACCCCACTGCAGAACTGCCACAGTTTACTATCACTTCATGAAGAAGCAGGAGTAATATCTCAAGGAAAAAGTTCTGAAAATGATGACAAATGCACATTAAATACAGCTTTTGTGCTTACCTTTGGTTTCCAGCCTCTGATCACTTCCAATCAAACAGTCCTTGATGTCTGCACCCTTCTCTATCACAGCATTATGACAAATAACACTGCCCTGAAGACAGCACCTACAACATAAAAACAAGCAAAACAAGAAAAGAATTTAAATGACAGATACAGAACAAAGGTATCCACTGGAATATCTAATGACTCTGTGACATGATCCTGTACGTGGGTTCAGTTCAGCTCATTTCTCAAAAACTCCATTCTTCTCTTGATCCTCATACCCAGTTGCTGGAAAAACTTAAATGCCAGGTGTCAGATTGGCTTTGCAAAAAAGAGTTTGCAGTTTTACCTCCTGTTAGAACAGCTTTCCTCTACATTTCCTCAACAGAATAAATACTTAACTGAATAAATAAAGACTTGGGACCTGGATCAAGTCCTGTACTTTCCACAGACAGTCTGGGTAACTGCAGGGGTGGCTTCACTGCTCAGCTCCCCAGCTAAAAACAGGAGCAGCAGCACAGTCTTTCTCTGCAAGTTTTGCTGAGCAGTTTTATGCATTCCAACTTGCCGGGCACTAAGAAAAGGTGGAGAGAAGGGGCAGATCAATAGCTCAGCTGGTTGGCTTTGTTCATGTTACATTCAAGCACCCAAACATAATTATTCTGCAGTACTAAACCAATGAAACCCACACTAGACCTACACTACTTGCCTTGGGTATCTTCACATTCATGTTGCCTTTGACACCACTAAGTCTGAAATACTACACAGGATGGAACTTCAGCAAAAGCCACCTTATTCCAAAATGTATTTGAATCTGTAATAATCAGCTTTCATATCTGCCAATCCCACCGTCCAGAGAGGAAAGGAGTTCAGAGTCCAACTGCTGGGTTTGTAACTTCTCTGCTGAGAGTTTCTGAGTTAGTGCATTTCTCTGAGCCCCTTCTTCCAGTAAACTGGAACTTGTCAATCTTAACTAGTATCTGTGATGTGCCCTGAAATGCTACTCCCTCAGCATGATGTGTCTTGTTAAATAGCATTAAATGTAATTTCTTTCAAAGCTACAGAGAAGAAAATAGCTGTGAATCAAATGATTTTTTTCTTTATTTTCACATGTGCAAAGGCAGATAGGAGTCATTGAAGGACAGAAAACACAGCTAAGATATATCTAAAAATACTAACACTCATCAAAACCAGCTGATTGGGAAGAGGGTATAAGTGAGATCGATAACCCTGGAGAGATGCAGGTAATCTAGATAACTCACTATTAATCCTACTGTGAACCACAGCATCACATATTGCTTCCCAGTATTTCTGTCAATATTAATAACAGTAACTGTGAATATTATCAGTCCGACAACTGATCTCTGTCAAAACCAGAAGTTTTTGGCTTCAATGACCTTCTGCACAGTGAGCTGCACAGTTTAATGACCTGCAGCCATTCCCCACCTTGGTTATGGGCACCACCACTACTCTCTGCACTGGTGAAGCATGGCTGTGGTGAACCATCAAGCTGGCTTGTGGACAGAACTCTTAGCCTGGAGTCTGAATTAACAGAGGAGTTTTGGTATCAGGTCAAAGCCCCAAGACTCAATTCTGTATTAATGGAGCACTAGTAAGCTGAGGTCCTCAGAAGTGTGAAACATCGGTCCTCACTCCAGACCGCTGATCCCAAAATTAATTCATAGTATTTTCCTGCTCACACAACACTATTATCTAGAACAAAGAATTTATCATTAAACATATTACAATTCTGTTGCTTGTGTGAGTCAGAGCAGAAACCATCTGCCCCACAAAACCACCATTAATTCTGCAGGAGTAAAAGCAATAAAACTGGACCTCAGTTGCAGTGGCTCACAGTTACAACCCCCCGTGAACAGACTGTCCCCTCTGAACAATTATTCTTTTAACTCACTTAAACTCCCCCTCTGCTGACCTATAAGGAGGCAATGTGAGCAATTATTCTACAAGCAACCGGCTCAGGTTGCTTTGGCAAGGTTTTTACTAACATGTTAATAAGATAAAAAGCGGCAAAGATACACAGCAGACCCCTGCCTGTCTTTGCTCTCACACTGTCACGATCTGCTTCCTTTCCAATAGCCTCGTGTGCCCGCACAGCGGCTCAGGCCATCGTCCTGTGCAACAGCAGCTGCTGAGAGCAAGAGCAATTTGGCATTTATGCCAGGCTAGGGAAGGGATCACTGGAAGCAGGACTGCCCACTGCTGCCATCCTGACTTAGCTTTCAACAGAACTAGTGAAGGGAATGGGAGAAGTTGCTCATTTCCCACTGAAATGGCTCCTATCCAAAACCTGCACTCCAGCATACCTCCTCCTCCGTTGCTTTGAGCCAGTCAGATGAAAGCTTTCCCCTGCAAACTTTGAGGTTCCCACCATCTATCACTTCTCCTGAGCATGAGAGCAGCTGTGAGTGCACTACACCTCTCAGCATTATCCTCATGCAGGAGGATATTCCCCAAAAGAGAGGGGATTTAAGCTGTCGGTCTGGAGCTCAGGCTGGAGAATACTGCATGTGTGTTCAGAGCCTACTTGAGCACTGGCTTTCAACTCCCCGAGAAAGAATAGCATTGTAACCAAGAAACTGCTGATGACATTAACATCAAAGATAATGGGGGCTCCTGCCAAACCATTTTTTGGGAGGGACAGGCCAGGGAACCAAGATGAACTTGTCTGTGCCAGGTGCTTGCAAATCAACCCTTCCCTGGTGCCAGGGTAAAACAAAACCCAAGAACTCCACCACCCCAGGAGTTTCTTAAAACTTATAAACCCAACCAACTGCAGAAGTTTTAAAGCCATACTCAATGCTCAGATTACCCCAATCACACAAACCAGCAGCAAATCCGGCTTTTATTGCTCAAGTGGAACAAAACTTCAAGAGATAAAAACACAATTTGTGGGTGTTCCCTTCACCCGCTGACAGATGTAACACAGCCATTTTGAAACCACTTGTAAATGCCTTTTTTCTTAAAAAAAAAAAAAAGTTATAAAGCCTGCCAAGAGAAGTATTCTGTGTGTTTATTTAATTTTTACTATTTTTTCAAGTTGAAGAGTAAGGAATAAACTTTTATTCTCTTACAGGGTAAATATCAGATCTCAGGGCACTGCTGTAGTCTCCTTGGCTAAACTGCCACCACAGTTCCTGCCTTCCATAACAATTAGGTGCTATTAGCCCTCAAAGGTGCTCTGACAGCATCCAGCTTCATCAGCTCTGGTGTGTGTGCGCATATGCACACATTGATGTACTGCTTTATAATGCAAACCATATTTATTTTTTTCCCCTGAAAATGTAGTATATTTTTAAACTTTTCAGCACGGTGAAAATGGATATCTCCTGACCTTAAAATCCAAAGAGCATGTTCAAACCCACAAGAGGAACTAATTTGGGGCATTTGATTTACAGCTGAAATTTCAATTTGAATTTGTTTTAAGTGTAATCACAAACTGAAAGTCTGGCAGCTGGGTGTTTTTCAGAAAATAAATAAAAATATTCAGTGTACATCTGCATTCTAGAGAGAGCATTTTACAAGCCTAGTCCTGTAGTGGGAACAGATGTAGCTAAAGCATTAATTTGTTCTACAGGTACAACGTGTAAATGGGAGCATATGAGAGAGTGTGTGCCTACGTCTGTGTCTGTGTGTTTGCTACGTGCCTGCATCTGAGAGACAGAGCCCGACTTTGGGGTGGGTTTTTTTGAAAGTGAGAGAACAAGAGCAAAAGGAGTAGTGGCCAAGGAGGCATGGGGGGATTACAAGGATTTAGGTCTTTAAACTGCAGACCACCTAACAAGATCACTCTGAAATGCCACTAATTTCAGTTAAGGCCACAGACCTCCCTTCCTCTGCCCTCCCTCTCTCCCCCATTGTAAACAACTAATCCCAGCAGAAAACAACAGAGAGCAAAATGTACACACATTCTGCAACATTCCAGGTCCTTCTTTATCTTTTATTTATTTTTCTAAAAGGTCAGCGTATGTATGGAGGGAGGGGGGAGGGGAAAAAAGCCAAAAAAACCTCAAGTCCATCTCTTGTGTGGGCTTGAAGGAAGCGGGGAGAAAGCAAAGTCCAAGAGCACACAATATGGAGCTTTTATAGCACAGCAATTCCTGGACTCAGCTTACTTTCCCCCTCCCTCTATTTGTGGCAAAGTCGCATAGCTTTAAACCAAAGGACAGGGTGGTCGATTACATCTGAAAGAAATGTAAAGAATTGGGAAAGAATTCCATCTCCTGTCGAAATTATAAATAAGGAAGTATTAATCCCAGAGACAGGCTGATTTATGCAGCCCTGGAACTGCTGACTTTCAGCCCGAGTATCGGTCTATAAATCAAACTCTTAAATCAAGTGTGTCAATTGCTGCAGCACTGTGATACTGAGGCAAAGCAAGGCACCCACCACTGAAAGCAGGAAGATTGCCAGGGGACTGAGGTGCCGTGCCCTTCTTAATTTTCTGAAGTGTAAATCTGAGATCAAACATCCTTTGGGGGAACGGGAAATCAAAATACGCAGTGCTCAGCACACCGGGAGCAGGCAGCAGGAGTCCAAGACACAACCCCCTAATTACAGGCTACCCACTGATTATTTAGGACTCTGTGATTAAAGTGATGAACGCTCCTGGGAGAAAGGGGCTTAAGTAACTGAGGTCAAGACCTCAACTGCAGCTCTCGCCCTGGTTGTGCAAGCTTAGGAAGGTATGAATATCACAGGTTTGCCTTACAGCAAATCTCCTGAAATGCCAATGGAAGTTATCCAGGCCTGGTACTTTAATCCAATTGTGCCAAAACCCCGACATAATCTCTGTTGGGCAGCAAAGCAAATGAGGTGTCTATAATGCAATGCTTAAAACTGTAGACTCACAAGAAAGAAAGCCTGGAGCACAAAGCCTAGGACAGCCTGTTGGTACAGCTCTGCTGTGCCAAGCAGTCGGGTCTCGTGCGCCTCCAGATGAGCTATGAGAGACTGACATGGGAGTTAAAAGCAAAGGGTGACATGCCTCAGCAGCTACTTTGCTGACTGAGGGGTAACAGATGTGAATTCCCCTGGGAGCAACATCCCCTTCTGCCTTGACCAAGGAGATAACAGCCACCACAGGCACCTTAACAACTCTAAG